CCCCGCGCAGCCCGGGAGCAGGTATGCAGCGCGCGGGCCCCCTAGTCCTTACCCCGGGCTGCTCCCCAGGGCTCTGGGATCCTCAGGGAAAGGAATGGAGCTCATACCCCAGGAGACCAGGCGGCAGAGGAGCGGTCTCCTGTGCGTCGGTCTCCATGGCAATGCGCAGCGCACTCAATTCCTTCCGGAGTGTTCCTAAAGGAGGATTTTCCCCAAAACCTGGGGCTCTCACCCCCTGGTGCCACCTCGGGAGCGTCAGGGGCCCGTAGTTCCCGCGCTGGTGCCCTTGAGTTTCGATTCCCTATCTGCTTCCCTCAAAATTCTGGTGTCCGCAGCTTCCTGTGGGTGCGGAGCTGGTGCCCCATCACATTCAATCTACCCCCTTCCTACCCTGACAAAAGTTACTCTAGACCAGTGGTTCTCAACCTTCCTAATGCCGAGACCCTTTAATACAGTTCCTCATGTTGTGGTGACCCCCAACCATAAAATTATTTTCGTTGCTACTTCATAACTGTAATTTTGCTACTGTTATGAATCGTAATGTAAATATCTGATATGCAGGATGTATTTTCATTGTTACAAATTGAACATAATTAAAGCATAGTGATTAATCACAAAAACAATATGTAATTATTTATGTGTTTTCTGATGGTCTTAGGAGACCCCTATGAAAGGGTCCTTCGACCTCCAAAGGGGTCGCGACCCACAGGTTGAGAACCGCTGCTCTAGAGCATAAGCGCCCTGGCCGGTGTGGCTCAATTGGTTGGAGCGTCCTCCCCACACCAAAAGGTGGCGGGTTTGATTCCAGGTCAGAGCAACCACCCAGGTTTCAGGTAGGATCCCAGGTCCTCACAGGCGAGAGGCAGCTGATGGATGTTTCTCTCACATCAACGTTTCTCTCACATCAACGTTTCTCTCTCTCTCCCCTCCTTCCTCTTTCTGAAAATCAACTTTAAAAAATGGTTTAAAAAAAATAACCAGCCTGCTCATTCAGTTTTAAGAAGTCAGTATTAGACCCGAACTGAAGTATAAAGAGGAAATGCAAGGAAACAATTCATAATAAAATATTTCCATCTGTAAATGCTTGTTGCTGCTACACTTGAACAAGTACTGACTCCCACACCCTGCCAGGGAGTCACCTGACCGCGATGGTTTCAGCTACTAGCAGAGGCCAGTGGGGGCGTGACTTTCCAAAAGACACACCCCAAAACGGCGAAGAGTTCTTGGTAAACTTCCAAACAAAACAAAGTGCAGTTAAGCCTTGATTTGCGTTTAGTTGCATCCCTCGAAAATTGTTCATTAAAACTGTGTAAAAATTGCTTTGTATTCATATGTAAAATAGAGTTGGGTTCTTGCTGCAGATATGCGGATTTTTCCACGGACATGAATGTGTGAGAGACTTTCTAATGTAGGGCCGCGGGATAATCCTTTATTGTCCGGACCATCCCTTGTATCTCGGAATCTTAGTGTCCCACTCCCTAACTGCTTCTAAATTCCTCGGTGCCTCTCCATCTCTGAGGACAACAGAAACACACACACACACACACACACACACACACACACACACACACACAAAACGGTGCCTCTCCATCTCCAAGGAGAACAGAAAAAAACCAGACAAAAAAACCCAAACCAAAACAAACAAAAAAAACAACCGCGGAAAAACCCCACAAAAAAACCACCAAACCCCATAAATTTCCAAAATGCCCCCTAGGGGGCAGTACTTCATTACTGAGAAAGGCTGGATTGTAAATTCCGCAGGCATAAGGACATTCCTGCTTTATAGAGGTGATAATGCCCACGCTCACTGGAGTGTTCCAAAGCTGAGTAACAGCCCAAGTCTGATCCGGGAGCCCACCAAGAAGCTCCGTCTCATTTTGGTTGTTACCTGTGGCCACCTGGAAAGTTATTTGACTGTCTTGGTTGAGGTCCGAAGGAAAGTTTTAGCAAAATGAGTTCTTTTACATTTTAGTGGTCAATTTTCTGACTTTGTTAATGTTTATGAAAAAGGTGCAATAAAATTTCATTTCTCTAATTTCAGGAAACTTCATGCATTGGAAACCATGGATAAATATGATGTGATTAAGGTCATTGGGGAAGGTGCCTTTGGGAAAGCATACTTGGCCAAAGGGAAATCAGATAGCAAGCACTGTGTTATAAAAGAGATCAATTTTGCAAAGGTAAAACTAAGAAATTCAAATTCCTATTTATACTCAGTGGTCTATTCAGCTGGCTTTTAATCCAGTATTTAAAGGAAACACTTTTTTTGGGGTCTTTTTTTTTTACAAGTATGAGCTAGTTGACTCTTGTTCACTCCACCTCCTAAATCCATTGTCCAAATAGCAACCAATAATCTTATTTAAAAAAAATAAGTGTTGCTCAGTGGTTGAGCATTGACCTATAAACCAGGAGGTCACAGTTCGATTACCCCCGTCAGGGCACATGCCCAGGTTTCAGGCTCAATCCACAGTATGGGGCATGCAGGAGGCTGCTGATCAATGATTTTCTTTCATCATTGATATTTTTATCTCTCTCTACCTCTCCCTTTGTCTCTGAAATCAATAACTATATATATGACAAAAAGAAAAAGAAATCAAGAATAAAAAGAAAAGAATCCACATCACCCTGGCTCCTATGGCACCTCTTGGGGTGGCCTGCAAGGCCTATGCGGTACTGCCTTCCTCTATTGCTGACTTCTGTTTTTCCAGTGCACTGTGTGAGGTCCTCGAAATTATTCGGTCTGGCCCTGCCAAGACATTAGGGGTGAGTTAATTAAATGTTTGACCAAATGTAGCAGGCTAATTTTTAAGTTGATAATTTTGTATGGCCCATGAATGATGTTATAAATATCCAAATGACACTTGGCAGAAAAAAGGTTCCCCAGCCCTGTTCTAGAGGATTTCTAAATGAGAGCAGCAGAAAAAGATTTATACATAATGTCTGCAAAATGGACTACTCAAGCTGCACAATGGCAATAATGCCACTGATTTGGACACCTAAAAATGGTTAAAATGTTATAAATTTTGTTATATTTATTTTATCACAGTTTAAAAAATTGCAAAAAAGAAAAAAAGAGAGGACTAACCAAACTTACATCAAAACTGAAAGTATAGATGATTAACTTCCAAGAGAATGCTTGATTTACGAAAATAGGGCCCTTTTCATGGATCTATGGTTTACTTCTACTAATGTCCTCTTATTCTAGTGTCTGTCAGTGCTTCCTTTTATGACATTATTCTGCTCACTTCCTTGTTTATCTGACTACTTTTTCTCAGGCCTCTCTGTCTACTCACCTTCTATATATCCTTTGTTGACTCTCATTGTTATTGGAGAATTGCGCAGGTGGAATTTCTCCATTGCTAGTGGAAGTGGAGTTCTTGAGCGCCACTGGAATAAGAATTTCTGGAGGCCCCCCGGGGAGGATGAGATGTGGTAGAAAGCTTTATTTTCATGGAGTTATATCCCTTGGTTTCCAAAGTCCCATTTCCCTTAAACCAGTCCTGGAAAAGGTGCAGCTGGGAATCCAGCAGAGCTAAAAGCAAAGCCAGTGTTGAGAGTTGCTGTTCCATGGTGGAGCTGGGTCCGATGTAGCATCGGACTAGTTGTAGCCCATTAGTCCATTGTGTGTGGTCCACCTGGCCATGTCGGCGAATGCAGGGGAGCACAACAAGAGAGCAAGGTGCGTGGGCAAGCAGACAAGAGAGAGAAGCTCTTTATTTAGGAGCTTAAATATCAAATTTTCCTGCACCTGCAGTGGCCACGTCTGTATGCCTACTCTGTCCAATGCCCTGTTCCCAGGAATGACCGACAGGCAGGCACCCCCTCTATGTCACCTAGGCTTACTGGGCATGCGTCTAATCTTCCTTTGTCCAGTCACTTCCCCCAGGATCTGTGGGAAACACGTGGAGAGTGTTAACCTGCAGCTTGCTGGAACAAATGGCATGCCTATATTATCTGGCCTTCCCTTTGCACCTTTCCTGTTAATTAATAACCAAGTTATTACAACGGTATCATCATTTCTCTGTACTTTGTATACAATCACCTCACTTCAATTGTGACCACTAAGCAGATCACTCTTAAAACCCTCTCTCCAGCCCTGATACCTTCCAGCGCCCTAGCTCTGCATTTCATCTGCCAGCTAGATATCTTCAAGTCATATCTCTTTTAGTAATCTATTGTATAACATATTGCCTCAAATTTAGTGGCTTAAACAATAAACATTTATTATCTTGCATCAAGAATTAAGGGTTGCCGAACCGGTTTGGCTCAGTGGATAGAGCATCGGCCTGCGGACTGAAGGGTCCCAGGTTCGATTCCAGTCAAGGGCATGTACCTTGGTTGCAGGCACATCCCCAGTAGGGGGCGTGCAGGAGGCAGCTGATTGATATCTCTCATCGATGTTTCTAACTCTCTATCCCTCTCCCTTCTTCTCTGTAAAAAGTCAATAAAATATATTTTTAAAAAAAGAGTGAATTTAAAAAAAGAAAAAAAAGAATTAAGGGTGAAGATCATTGAGGACCATCTTGGAAGGGACCACAAAAATACCCCAAACAAAGTAGAAATTTCTCATCTTTCTAAGCAGACCCACTTCTGCTGTGTGCTTCACTGTGTTAATGACATCAATGTCCTTATGATATCCAGACTCAAAACCTTGGGGTCATCTGTGAATTTTTTCTCTTTACAGGTACCCAAAACACCAGAAAAGCTGTTATCTGACAGCCTCCTAAATTTAAATGAGGGACCCTGCTTGCATTGTGATAAAGCCAATTATTAAAGCAATTAAAACAAGCAAATTTATTAAAGAAACAAGGCAAGCGAATCTATTTCATCTGGCTCAGAGCGCAGATGAGCATCACTTAGCTAATATGAGGAGCGAGTTGGGTGGGGATTCACAGCATTATATACTCTCCTGTCTATAGATTTTTAAATTCCTCTGCTGAATATCTTGGTACAGATTAATTCTCAAGGTCCCTTTTTACTTTGTTGTGGCCTTCCCAGAATTCATGAGAAGTACCTGGCAATTTTATCTTGCCAACCTTGAAACTGCTGGCTTCTTTGTTTAGGGAGTAAAAAATCAAACAGCCCTGCCCAGCCGGCGTGGCTCAGTGGTTGAGCATCAACCTATGAACCAGGAGGTTACAGTTCCATTCCTGGTTAGGGTACATGTCCATGTTGCGTGCTTGATCCCTAATGTGGGTTAGCAGGAGGCAGCTGATCAATGATTCTCTCTTATAATTGTTATTTTTTATTTCTCTCCCCTCCTCTCTGAAATCAATAAAAATATATTTAAAAAATAATAAAATAAAACAGCCCTTTTATTCCTCCCTCCCACTTCCTGCATTTTTTAGTTGGAGAGTCATTAACCATTTGCTTTCAAGCTGTCCTTGGGAAAGGTAAGGGCTTGCAGTCTTGCGGTTTATAAGCTGGTTGCAAATTGTTCACACGGTTTGGCCTTGTTTTAACATTCTTGTCTTAGTTTCCCTATTCCACTTGCCCTGGAATTTTCCTAGCTTCTCACTGCCCTGTAACATTTCCAGATGAAATTTCTTGTTAAATACTGTTGACTCTTTCTCTTCCTTGACTTTGAATTCCTTTTGTTCCTGGGTTCCTTGGATCAGTCAGTAGCTTTCTCAAGGCTCCAGCTTTCATATAGCACAATTTTGATAATGCTCCAGTTATGTCCCCAAACCTTCACTGGGACAGAAATCATAAAGGAAAAGATGGCTGAGTTTGACTACTTAAAGATATAAAGCTTCTGTGTGACAAAAAACCCGCCATGAATAAATTGAAAGGAAATTCACAAAATATAAAACATATTTGCAAGTATTGATTAAAAGGTGCTAGTTTTTATAAATAAAAAACAAAATAAAACCCATAACTGAAGACATAACCCATAACAATTTCAAATTAACTTGTAAACTACTTAATGTAAATAAATCAATAAGTATCACCTTTTGTTTATGCATTTGGGGAGGACTAAGAAGAATATAAAAATGGGAGGAAGCAGTCACTCTTATTCTACTGATGGGAATGTAGATTGTGAAAGGTGAACACGGTGGGTTAGCATGGTGGTGCACGGGTAGGCTAAGTAGCCATCTCAGACAGTGATTAAAGTAAAATTGAATTTATTTAAGGGAAGGGGTGGGGGATAGAACATCCAAAGGGAAGGGCTGCGCAGCACCAAGCCTAGGGGACATTCGGTCCATGATGGCAGCACTCAGGAGCTGGAGTTTCATCCTTACATGCAGTCGCTGGGCTGGTGGGAAACTTGATCTTAGTGAGTTTGGGGACTGAGCTGGTGAGCTTGGAATGCAGGTGGAATGCAGGACAGTTTCAATTCCTTGTATGGTCTAACTCTTAGTGTCCAGGAAGTTTTTCCGGGTCTTTTGTTCTCCTGTGGCAGGAAGCTTGCAAATGGCCATTAAGGATTATATTGCCCTACAGTCCTAACAGATTGGTAGCACCCTGAGGGGAATTTATCCAAATGTATCAAAGCCTTGGAAGGAACCATTCCCTGTCTGTATTACAGACAAGGAGTAAGGTCCACAGTATGTTGTAAAGATGAAAAAATATCAGGCCACAACAAGTTGTGTGTGTGTGTGTGTGTGTGTGTGTATTAGGATTTCATCTCTGTCATTCTTTCTGTACTGTCTGAAGTTTAATATGGAATATATATTATGTTTTTAAAATTATGAATTGCATTATTTGTATAAGCAGAAAAAGCCAACTTCATTTCGAAAAAGAAAAGGTTAAAAGCACACTTGCTAGGATACATTAGTTCTACTTTTGAGAGTTTATTCCAAGGAAATATCCAGAGATGTACAGACAGTTACGAAACATTTCAAATGTCCAACAGTAGGGGATTGATTAAATAATTTATATAAATCTAAGAGGTTCTTAGAAGTGATGTTGTAGGTGAAATATCGACGTGAAAAATACAACTTTTACTAATTGAGAAAATAGTATGTGTAGAATGATGCAATCTTTGTAAAAATATATACATTCTCTCTCTCTCTCTCTCTCTCTCTCTCTCTCTCTCTCTCTCTCTCTCTTTCTGTATGCCCACATACATAAAAAGAGAAAAATACATGCTTGTTATTTTCTAGGTGGAATGTGGGATTATTAGTAATTTTTGCCTTGTACTTTTATACTGTTTCATTCTTCAGATTAGTCGTGACAC